GGAAAAGAAGCCGTGTCATTTCAATTAAAGCTATGCTTCCAAGAATCTACGCTCAGGAGCTAAAAGCAAAGCGAATGAAAGTGAGCTGTGTCAGCTGATCAGCTTTCAAACCACCTTCAAACTCTCAATTTTCTTAAAATGATCTGTCCATCAATGGTGTCTCTAGGGATTCCCTTTGCAACTTTTATTGGCAAAGAATAGACCGAGCAGAGATGCAGTACACAAAAACACAGCCACTCAAAAAGAAATCTGTTTTTATCTTTTACAGCACGTAGATTTTTAGTGGAAAAAAAATGTCTCTTCCTCAAGATAATTTAAAAATTGCAATATATTTTAATACACAGCATATTTCAGTTAAATCTTCTATTTGTTCCCTGTATGGAGAATCCAGTTAATGATATCCTACAGATGTGGAATTACAATTCCACAATATTGTCTCAAGATAAATTAAATTGCTTGGAAGGATTTAAAAATAAGCCCATATAATGTGCAAGATATGGCCAAGATAATTGTGAAATTTCAGCGATATTTCCGAAGGAAGCCTGTACGCTTTTTCACATTTATCATCTTATACTTGACAGCTGGAAGTGTTGTATTTTTGCACGCAACGTTTGAAGGGGAACATGTTGTACCAGATAATGATAAGACCTCCCTAGATGGGAAAAATGATGGAGCAGAGCTGCAAGAATCTGGGATGGCCCAACTGAGTAGGGTATTTAAAGAAGCTCCAGAGTCACCAAGCACACCACGAAGATATGGGACCATGGTTCAAAACATCTGGAAAAGAATTACAAGAGAAGAATAAGCAAGCAGACTTTGGAGGTACTTGGAACAGGGCTCTGAAAGGAAGAACTATGAGAGAGCAGGAGGAAGGGAGAGGTGAGCTGTGAAAAAAACATGTTTTTCATATTTACAAAAATTTGAATGTTACGCACACATTGCCTCAGGCATTGCAAAGGTCTCTAAATCCAGGTTTTAAGTGGAAATCCATCACAAGAGCAGTTAACAGGCATGTTTTTGGTGTAAGTATTATTATTATTATAGAGTATTTATATAGCGCCAAAGGGTTTTCTCAGCGCTGTACATTAGATTGGGGGACAAGACATGAGACAATACAGTAGCAAACAATACATGATACACAAGGGTTAGAGGGCCCTGCCCTTTCGAGCTTACAGTCTAGGAGGGAGGGGATGGTGATACAGGAGGAGATGGCTGTGGTGGATGGAATGGAGTGAGGAGTGGAGGGGATCGGCTGTTAGGTGAGGGTGGGGTAGGCTTCCCTGAAGAGATGGGTTTTCAGGGTGCGCCTAAAGGTGAGGAGGGTAGGGGACAATCTGATGGGTTGGGGAAGTGAGTTCCAGAGGATGGGGGAAGCTCTGGAGAAGTCCTGCAGTCGGGCGTGGGAGGTGGAGACCAGGGAGCTAGGAGTAGGAGGTCTTGCGAGGAGCGAAGATTACGGGTAGGGTGGTATTTGGGTATCAGGTCGGTGAGGTAGTTTGGGGCAGTGTTATGAATGGTTTTGTATGTCAGTGTTAGTAGTTTGAATTTGATGCGTTGGGCAATCGGGAGCCAGTGGAGGGAATGACAGAGGGGGGTGGGGAGAAGGGGATCGTTGGTAAGGTGGATGAGTCTGGCCGCTGAGTTCAGGATAGACTGGAGCGGGGATAGCTTGTTTTGGGGTAGGCCAGTGAGAAGGGAGTTGCAGTAGTCCAGGCGTGAGATAATAAGGGAGTGAACGAGTTGTTTAGTAGTGTCTGGGGTTAGGAACGAGTGTATTTTGGAGATGTTGCGGAGGTGGAACCTGCATGCGGTAGTCAGCGATTGGGCATTGGGTTGGAAGGACAGGTTAGAGTCTAGGATGACACCTAGGACCTTGGCTTGCATGGTGGGACTGATGGTAGCGTTGTTGGTCGTGATGGAGAGGGTGGGGAGGGGGGGTACGGGCAGGGGGGGAAAATTAGGAGCTCGGTTTTGGAAAGGTTCAGTTTGAGGAAGTGGAGCGACATCCAGTAGTAAAGTTAAGAAAGTCACATGGCTTACGTTTAATGCAAATCTCTAGTCAAAGCTTTTTTCCTTTGTTTTGGGTAGAAAATGGAAAGGTTAGAATGACTATCAGATATTTATCTCTGTCTGTGCTCTTGGTTGGAAGATTCATCCTGGTCAACATTGCCATTTGGACAGAAAGTGATGAAAACATTTATGGCTGTCTCTGGCACAGGTGTTGAAGGGAAACCTTTAAGTGAGGTCACCTTTTTGGTGATGACTGTCCAAAAGGGATTTCCCTTAACTGTTGTGTCACTGGTGTAGAGAGTGTGGAAAAACTCCCCAACAAGAGACAAAAATGTTTTTAACCATTCCCAGCTCCATTCAAAACTATATATAAGAAAGGGTATTGCCCAAAGGTTACATGGGAGGAGCCAGAATGCGTGATGTCAGCATGCACCGGAACGTGGTGGCCATCTTGTGGGATGGAAACTTACCATTAATTTATATGGTGACATGCTGTTTTACTTTCTTTTTTGATGTACGTTTTTTACTACGCTTTGAGGCAACAAATGTAGTGCATCTTATTACACTATGAGGATTCTTTTTGCATTTTGAATGGGGTTGTCCTCTATGAGGATAATTCTTTTGTAGGTTCACCTTCCAGTCCATCTCTTGATACAAAAGTTTGGAACCAAAGAGTGCCCAGGTCTACGGCTTGCCTTTTGGAACTTATACAGCACATATTGACCCATCCGTAACTGGGGGTCAACTTGATCCGGTAAGAGGCAGAGTGTTTGGTGGGTGATGGTGATGGTGGACTTTCTCTATCTTCACCTGGCCGTTTTGAGACATCTATAGTAACACTGGTGCTCCAGTGAAGAGGGGCTCATTCCCCATATTTGTACTCCTGTGGATTGGACTTTTAAGTTCACTTTTTTTATTATTTTGAAGCGCCTCACTTTTGTATATTATTTTTTGTATATTGTTGCCTGCAATATTGTGGTGGCAGCTCAAGTGGATTGAATTATATATCTTTTCATCTTTTTATTTGGATAATTATATATATACCATAGTGTGGAATTGTAAAGACATTTTTTAATTCACTATATCTGGTCTCCCATAGTGCACAGAACATGGAAATGCAATTATTTTAGTAAATATAAACTACTAAATACCTTTTCTCATCAGCAGTTTATAGCGGTCTTGTGACTTCTATCAGTGTCCAGCAGAGCACTGGTTAAAGCTTGTAGGAGGAGTTTTCATTCTGCTTTAGGAGGATGCAGAACCCCTGACCTCTGTCTAGACAGTGCTGATTGGCCCTGTGATGATTCCATACACTTTCCCAAGAAATAAATACCTCTCTAGCAATACACATCAAACTTACCATGTGCAGAGTGTCTCCACGTGATATGTCTTATCAGGAGATAAGAGGGGAACACTGGAAGAAGGGGAGGATCAGAGAGGACAGGATTAAACTTCCTTTTTACACAAAGTGGAAGATTAACCCCTTAGGTTCCACAATGAGTATAACAAGCATGCTTTACTGCATATACAGACTGATTTTACTGTTGTGGGTTTAGTAACACTTTAAACTTTGATTGTGCAGTCATGTTTTTTACATGCATTTACACATTGGATTGTTTGTGTGTATAAAACAAGTTCAAAGCAACAATGAAAACTTGTTATGCGAGCATTCCACTTGAAGTAAAAAAAAAATATTAAGAAAACCAGCTGGGAATTTCATCGCTATAAAACAGGAACTTAAATCGCGTAGAGCTGGAGAGGTGATGGCAGTGATGAAGTAGCCTGGTGGGAAGATGCAGTATAACATATTGCTACACAACACTGCTTGGGTGACAGCTGAATAATGAATTACTCTGGTATTTAGGGAAATAGTGGCTGCATTACCCATAAAATGAACACAAAACTGAAACAAGAAACCGCAGTGACCACTGAAGGTGCACCTTGACTGAATCTAGATGAAAATATTGTGGTTTTACAGTATTTAATTTTGTCTTGCTTTCAAAGTTCAAAGCAACATTCAGAGACAGTGCGTATACAGCAAAGGACAGCCACAGTAAGCAAATGCTTCTCTCATTTTTCACAGTGTCTGTGCTTACAGGAAAACATCCAGCACTTTATTGGTGCTTGGTGAATCATGGTGAGATGGGTGCGGTTCCATAATATCCATGCAATCATTTTTGTCCTGCAAAAAATACCAAAACATCTACATAAAGAGATTTCTTATGGAGAGTATAATCTTCTCAATTTTTTTATGTGTATATGAAGCCAGTTATATTTGCTTATTAGAGCTATAGATTCTGCCTCTTGCTTTGCGGTGTTTTTTACGATCCATCTCACCAAACCTGAGTTGGTCAACTCATTGAAAACAATGCACTCCCTTTTTGCTGACATGTTATTCCAATAGCTGTTTAACAGAAATTAAACTCTGGAAACTGTGCTGAAGGAAAAAAAAGAAGCCAAGAGGCGGGTCGAGGACTAGTCACCACTACTGGCCTTTAAGGTCCCTGCAGCTCATATTTTTTCCATTTCTGTTTTACAAAGCCTTGTTATGTACTGTAGGAGATTTACTAATATGGGTGCACTCAAAATCTGTAGCAGCTGTGTGTAGTAGTCAATCAGCTTCTAGCTTCAGCTTGTTCAATAAAACCTGGAAGCTGATTGGTTTCTATGCAGAGATGCACCAGATTTAGCACTTTATAGTTTCAGTAAATAACCCCCACTGTGTGAAGCTAACCCTTTTGGTAGAGGCAGGGATTTTGCTTCCTCATTTCTGAAAAAAAAAAAAAAAAACACTGAAGAACACAGTACTGGCATCATAAATATCACTCCAAATATTTTACCATTTCTAGCAACAGGCAGCAGTGGCTTAAAGTGATTGTAAAGGCAAAAAGGTTTTTTACTTTAACCACTTCCCAACCGTCCTATAGCTGAAGTACTGCTACAGAGTGGCAGGGCTGCACAAAATCATATATATATATATATATATATATATATATATATATATATATATACATACAGTGGGGATCGAAAGTTTGGGCACCCCAGCTAAAAATTTGTATTAATGTGCATAAAGAAGCCAAGGAAAGATGGAAAAATCTCCAAAAGGCATCAAATTACAGATTAGACATTCTTATAATATGTCAACAAAAGTTAGATTTTATTTCCATCATTTACACTTTCAAAATAACAGAAAACAAAAAAATGGCGTCTGCAAAAGTTTGGGCACCCTGCAGAGTTAATATCTTGTACTGCCCCCTTTGGCAAGTATCACAGCTTGTAAACGCTTTTTGTAGCCAGCCAAGAGTCTTTCAATTCTTGTTTGAGGTATCTTTGTCCATTCTTCCTTACAAAAGTCTTCCAGTTCTTTGAGATTTCTGGGCTGTCTGTCACGCACTGCTCTTTTAAGGTCTATCCATAGATTTTCAATTATGTTGAGGTCAGGAGATTGTGAAGGCCATGGCAAAACCTTTAGTTTATGCCTCTTGATGTAATCCCCTGTGGATTTCGAGGTGTGTTTAGGATCATTATCCATTTGTAGAAGCCATCCTCTCTTTAACTTCAGCTTTTTCACAGATGGCATCAAGTTACCATCCAAAATTTCCTGAAATTTTATTGAATCAATTTTTCCTTCTACTCGTGATATGTTCCCTGTGCCACTGGCTGCAACACAACCCCAAAGCGTGATTGATCCAACCCCATGCTTAACAGTTGGACAGAGGTTCTTTTCATTAAATTCTGTGCCCCTTCTTCTCCAAACGTACCTTTGCTGCTCATTCCGGCCAAAAAGTTTAATTTTAACCTCATCGGTCCACAGAACATTGTTTCCAAAATGCATCAGGCTTGTCTATATGTTCATTTGCAAAGTTCAAACGATGATTTTTGTGGTGAGGACGTAGAAGAGGTTTTCTTCTGATGACTCTTCCATGAAGACCATATTTGTACAAGTATCTCTTTATAGTGGAATAGTGTACCACAACTCCAGTGTCTGCCAGATCTTTCTGGAGGGATCGTGCAGTCAAACGTGGGTTTTGAATTGTTTTTCTCACAATCCTGCGAGCTGTTCTGTCTGATATTTTTCTTGGTCTTCTAGATCTTGCTTTAACTTCCACTGTTCCTGATGACTGCCATTTCTTAATTACATTCCGAACAGAGGATATTGACATCTGAAAACGCTTTGCTATCTTCTTATAGCCTTCTTCAGCTTTGTTAGCGTCAACTATTTTCAGTTTCAGTTTTCTAGACAACTGCTTAGAAGAACCCATGGTGCTGATTGTTGGGGCAAGGTCAGATGAGTCTGGGCATTTAAAACCTTTGAGATTGACATCACCTGGTCTTCCCAGACGATGATTGAGAACAATCCATGACACTGGCAGGTCTCAGCTTGGCAAAGGGGGCAGTGCATGCTATAAATTCTGCAGGGTGCTCAAACTTTTGCAGACGCCAATTTTTTTGTTTTCTGTTATTTTGAAAGTGTAAATGATGGAAATAAAATCTAACTTTTGTTGACATATTATAAGAATGTCTAATCTGTAATTTGATGCCTTTTGGAGATTTTTCCATCTTTCCTTGGCTTTTTTATGCACATTAATACAAATTTTTAGCTGGGGTGCCCAAACTTTCGATCCCCACTGTATATATATATATATATGTGTGATTTTGTATTTCCAGATAGGAACCGCCCTATCCACACCACTATTGGCAGCTACGGCCCTACCAGCACCCGCCGATCGCCGAGGAACAGTGACAGAGGAGAGGTCTGTATGTAAACAATACAGATCTCTCTCCTGTCAGCACCAGCATGCTGCTTTATATTGTTCTGCATAGCATTACCTGCATTAACCTGCCATACACACATTTGCGGTTTTCTCTGCTGGTGGCCCGAGAGGCCACATATATGCATCCCTATGTATACATTTTCTGTGCTGAGAGCACAAACCCTGCGCACTCCCAGCACAGTTACCAACATGTATCAGAAAGCTCCTGCTGCCTACTTGCGATTGGGAGCTTTCCAATCATGTGACCACTGTGACTGCCAATCACAGCAGTCACATGATCGAAGGCCTGCCTCCGCCTCCTGGAATTTAGATCCTCCTAAAAGAGAAAAGAGAAGCCAGTCAACACTCTCTGCTCTGCCCCCCTCCCACTCTCATTGGAGCGCTGGGCTGTGGAGAGGGAGGGAGAGCCTGTCTCAGCTTCTCAGCAGATCGCTCTGGGGTGAATTCCAACTTTGAAGCTGGGATATTTCCCTCGCATGGACTGGCTGACTGACATCAGCCAATAGTGGGTTTCTGCCCGCTGTCAGCTGAAAATGGGTCACAGGAGTGTAGAATAAACTGCACTCCTGTGATGCACAGGAAAAGTACTTCTCTTTCAAGGACCGGGAGGTGTCAGTGGGAAGGGGTTTAAAATAAGAGGTTTTTTACTTACCGCCGCAATAATTTTTTCTTGGATTGCATTGTGGAACACAGGTCCCACCCCCTTTTTTCTTATGATCCACTCCTACTTTTTGCTTGCTAACAAACAGAGGCATGCTAAGGATGAAAGGAGTTATACTGGGCTGCCCTGCCAAACATTGTTTGGCAAACGTTCAATCTCCTGTAGGCAGCAGCATAACCCAATGTACCTTAATACTCATCCTGTGTCCCGTAATGTGCTCCAAGAAATGGATAAGTCAAAAATCCTATTTTAATATGTGCTTGGAAAAAGATAAAAGAATACCTGCAAATGTACATGTGGTCACAAAGCTAGATCAATAGATTATACTGTATAATAACGTATTACGCAATACATTTACTGTATAGGAAAATCTGTACCCCTGCTAGCCCTACACCTGTGGTTATTGTTGGACCCAGAATAGTTTATTGTCAGCTGATTGGATTTAATGTGAACAATATGAACATTCATCATGTCTGACATTTCTTCCACTCTTCTTCTGGCTACTCAGATGTACAGTAACTATCTTTCTAAAGACCCATGATTCAGCCAGGGTATAAGTAAAATCTTGCATCTCCAAGGAACCCAAGTTAGGGTCACATGTCTACAGAAGACCCAATATGGCCTGTTCAATAGATAATCAAACTTATCACCTCTTGGTTCTAGGAAAACTGTGTTGTTAATGCTGCAAAGATAGAATGGCTTCTTTATGACTGGTATTTTACGGGATTGCCTGTAAAAATTGTTCTTTGGTGCTTTGCCAGCATTATTAATAGATAAGATCATAAGGCCCAGCATTTCTCAGAAAAAGTGTCAATCCTTATATGGAAAAGAATGCAGAAAATGGAAAATCTGCTACCGCTTCAAAATTACAGTATATTAACGCTCAGAAAACTAGGGGTGAACCTTCGATTATTCATACTTTAAGATGAAAAACAACATTTTGCACAATCATTTAATAAACAAAACTTGTAATGATTTTTACTCTTTAAACCCCGTTGAGGTTTTAGTTTTTTTTTTATTTCATTTTTGTCTTAGTTTTAAATTGTCAAAGAAAATGAACAGCGCTACCCATAAATACCTTCTGGGTGAGAAATAGGTGATGTGAAAAAAATAGACTGCATGTTATCTCATAGTGTATATAACAATCCCTACCGTAAAGTGCAAAATAACAGTCATATGTGTAGTTTCATTATGTGCTATTAATCACATACGGCATGTTGCTTCAATATTAAAGTGTCCTGTGAGCAACCCAAACGGTTACACACCTAAAATAAAGTGCAACTAGTTATACAAATCCAGCGTACTGCAAAATAAAATCGCATATCACATGATATATATATAACAGTGGGGATCGAAGTTTTTCGGGGCAAAGCACCCCAGCTAAAAATTTGTTATTAAATGTTGCATAAAGAAGCCAAGGGAAAGATGGAAAAATCTCCAAAAGGCAATCAAATTACAGATTGGGTGACATTCTTATAATATGTCAACAAAAGTTAAGATTTTATTTCTTCCATATTTACACTTTCAAAATAACAGAAAACCAAAAAATGGCATCTGCAAAAGTTTGGGGCACCCTGCAGAATTTATAGCATGCACTGCCCCCTTTGCCCAAGAGCTGAGACCTGCCAGTGTCATGGATTGTTTCTCAATCATCGTCTGGGAAGACCAGGTGATGTCAATCTCAAAGGTTTTAAAGCCCAGACTCATCTGACCTTGCCCCAACAACAATCAGCACCATGGGTTCTTCTAAGCAGTTGTCTAGAAAACTGAAACTGAAAAATAGTGATGCTCACAAAGCTGGAGAAGGCTATAAGAAGATAGCAAAGCGTTTTCAGATGTCAATATCCTCTGTTTGGGAATCTAATTAAGAAATGGCAGTCATCAGGAACAGTGGAAGTTAAAGTAAGATCTGGAAGACCAAGAAAAACATCAGACAGAACAGCTCGCAGGATTGTGAGAAAAACAATTTAAAAACCCCACGTTTGACTGCACGATCCCTCCAGAAAGATCTGGCAGACACTGAAGTTGTGGTACACTATTCCACTATAAAGAGATACTTGTACAAATTATGGTCTTCATGGAAGAGTCATCAGAAGAAAACCTATTCTACGTCCTCACCACAAAAATCATCGTTTGAACTTTGCAAATGAACATATAGACAAGCCTGATGCATTTTGGAAACAAGTTCTGTGACCGATGAGGTTAAAATTAAACTTTTTGGCCGGAATGAGCAAAGGTACGTTTGGAGAAGAAGGGGCACAGAATTTATTGAAAAGAACCTCTGTCCAACTGTTAAGCATGGGTTGGATCAATCATGCTTTGGGGTTGTGTTGCAGCCAGTGGCACAGGGAACATCTCACGAGTAGAAGGAAAAATGGATTCAATAAAATTTCAGCAAATTTTGGATGGTAACTTGATGCCATCTGTGAAAAAGCTGAAGTTAAATAGAGGATGTCTTCTACAAATGGATAATGATCCTAAACACACCTCGAAATCCACAGGGAATTTACATCAAGAGGCGTAAACTGAAGGTTTTTGCCATGGCCTTCACAATCTCCTGACCTCAACATAATAGAAAATATATGGATAGACCTTAAAAGAGCAGTGCGTGACAGACAGCCCAGAAATCTCAAAGAACTGGAAGACTTTTGTAAGGAAGAATGGGCAAAGATACCTCAAACAAGAATTGAAAAGACTCTTGGCTGGCTACAAAAAGCGTTTACAAGATGTGATACTTGCCAAAGGGGGCAGAACAAGATATAACTCTGCAGGGTGCCCAAACTTTTGTTGCAGACGCCATTTTTTTGTTTTCTGTTATTTTGAAAGTGTAAATGATGGAAATAAAATCTAACTTTTGTTGACATATTAAAGAATGTCTAATCTGTAATTTGATGCCTTTTGGATATTTTTTCCATCTTTCCTTGGCTTCTTTATGCACATTAATACAAATTTTTAGCTGGGGTGCCCAAACTTTCGATCCCCACTGTATATATATATATATATATATATATATATATATATATATATATATTTGTACGGTAACTTATTTGTGAAACATCAGAGTGCAAACATATGCATAAAGTGAAAATAACCTTGGGTGTACTACAAAGTCTGGCAATATATTATTGTGTCCATATGTAACACAATCCACCAATCCAAGTGCTGTTCTTCTGTTTTTATTCCACCTTTCTGATGCCACCAATAAAGTGCTCTTCCGCCACCTTAGCTTAAATGAATTTACCAGAGCGATATGCTAGTCAGATTATAAAACTGTAAAACCACATGTTGTGATAGGAGTAATGATCTGCAGCTTGTAGTTCTATCTCCATCTTCTATCTCTGCCTTACACATTTTGTCACTTGGGGGTTTATTTACTAAACCTGGTTGACTCAGAATCTTGGGCACCTGTGCATGGTAGCCAATCAGCTTCTAACCTCAGCATGTTCAGTTAAGCTTCAGCAATAAAACCTGGAAGCTGATTGGTTTTTTATATGCAGAAGTGGACAAGATTCTGAGTCAACCAGGTTTAGTAAATAAACCCCTTGATGTCCTCTGGGAGCGAAAGGAGTCCTGGCCCCGCCCTACACATTTCATCACTTGGCTACCTCTTTGTAGTGTAACTTAATACATTATATAAATTGTGTGTGTGTGTGTGTGTGTGTTTTTTAGACAGATAGGGCTTTAATTTAGTAGCATATATATATATATTTTTTATTTTTTTTTTTTCCCTTGTTTTTTGTTGCAAATAAATAGTAAATAAATGAAAAATTCCTGTATATTTACATAATTTGCACACCTCCATATATTTACCCACAAAAAACAATCAACAAAGTCTGCTAATTAAAATATCACATTGATGTGACTTTTATGTAATGTAGTAAAACATAATGCTCAAAGTGAACATGTTTTACTTTAGGAAAGCTTTATTCACCTTTTGATGCTATATTGTGATGCGCGCAAGGGGAGAAAGGGTTTTCCCAAATTGTTAGTATAAATATGGTCAGGTTGATTAGCATAATGGCAACTTTTTTCACTGTATGCGATCTCCAAAAATTAAAATCACATTTTCTTATGTGAGCATTTGATGCCTTCGCAGTGAATGAAAATGTGACTTACAGGCCACTTTATTAAGTACACCTTGCTAGTACCGGGTTGGACCCTCTTTTGCCTTCAGAACTGCCTTAATTCTTCATGGCATAGATTCAACAAGGTGTCGGAAACCTTGGTCCATATTGACATGATAGCATCACGCAGTTGCTGCAGATTTGTCAGCTGCACATCCATGATACAAATCTCCTGTTCCACCACATCCCAAAGGTGCTCTATTGGATTGAGATCTTGTGACTGTGGAGGCCATTGGAGTACAGTGAACTCATTGTCATAATCAAGAAATCAGTTTGAGATGATTTGAGCTTTGTGACATGGCGCATTATCCTGCTGGAAGTAGCCATCAGAAGATGGGTACACTGTTGTCATAAAAGGGATGGACATGGTCAGCAACAATACTCAGGGAGGCTGTGGCGTTTAAATGATGCTCAATTGGTACTAAGAGGCCCAAAGTGTGCCAAGAAAATATCCCCCATGCCATTACACCACCATCACTAGCCTGAACCATTGATGCAAGGCAGAATGGATCCATGATTTCATGTTGTTTACGCCAAATTCTGACCTTGCCATCTGAATGTCACAGTTGAAATTGAGACTCATCAGACCACAGCAATGTTTTTTTCCAGTTCTCTACTGTCCAATTTTGGTGAGCCTGTGCAAATTGTAGCCTCCATTTCCTGTTCTTAGCTGCCAGGAGTGGCACCTGTGTGGTCTTCTGCTGCTGCAGCCCATCTGCTTCAAGGTTCGATGCGTTGTGCGTTCAGAGATGGTATTCTGCATATACCTTGGTTGTAATGAGTGGTTATTTGAGTTACTGTTGCCTTTCTATCATTTCAAACCAGTCTGCCCATTCTCTTCTGACCTCTGACTTCAACAAAGCATTTTTGTCCACATAATACACACAACTGCTGTTTACTGGATATTTTCTCTTTTTCAGACAATTCTCTGTCAACCCTAGAGATGGTTGTGCATGAAAATCCCAGTAGATCAGCAGTTTTTTAAATATTCAGACCAGCCCGTCTGGCACCAACAAACGTCATGTTCAAAGTCACTTAAATACCCTTTCTTCCCCATCCTGATGCTTAGTTTGAAATTCATCTTCACCACGTCTAGATGCGTAAATACATTGAGCTGCTGCCATGTGATTGGCTGATTAGCAATTTGTGTTACCAAGCAATTGAATAGGTGTACCTAATAAAGTTGCCAGTACATGTATATATCTTCCTGCTAGGGAGCAGATGTAATCCAGCAGCTAGGGTTATCTTTTACTGCTTAAGGGATTCTTTAGGCCTAATGTGCAGATCCGAATCATCTAACGCCATTGTTGGGATCTAGGACTTAATATGGGGAAGGAAAATTTGTATTTATTTTTAGTATATACATATGCATAGACAGACCCGCCCAGGCAATTATTCAGCAGCATTTTACTTCTAAGCATGTGCTCTGTAAAAGCATCAGAAGCCCAGAGCTGATCATTTCAACCTCAAGGCTTAGTGCAGGATGTCAGCTGTCAAAGACAGCCGGTGGTTTCAGACTGCAGCCCCTTCAGGACTCACAGGAGCTGAGACAAACAAAACATTTTTTAACAGAGTCACAAAATATGGTTTTCTTAAGAAAATTATATACAGCGAAAAATAATGCAAAAAATCCCGAAAAAATGTAGGGTTTATATATATTTTAGCAGCAAAACACTTGTTCTGAGTAAGAAGATGACAGAAACTTCGCTGGCTGCAAAGAGGGTGGTGTAGCCATTCTAAAAAGGAAATAGATGGATGATTCCTTAAAGCAGGTACAACTTTTATGTTATGCCTGCCCACTACATGCTATAAATGAAATTTGTCAATGTGCTGCGTTTAGTATATTCTGTGGTATAATTTATTTATTGATGCAAGAAAGTTGTCATCAAGCACAGGATGATTGTTTCTGTTGTAGAACATAATTAACAACGTACACAGCAGCTGCCAAAAATTCTGTTCTGTTTGGTATGACCAGTTCAGAAACTGCCAAGGTGTTGTCATCGTCCCTGGATGTAATCAAGCACTGAGATAGAAGGTGATTGGGAGTGTGGAACACCATATGTAGGAACAGAAGATTGCTCTCAGTAAAGACTGGTCTTTGCCTATCAGACTGATTGTGCTCCATTTTTTGTATGCTGAATGTCTGAGCTCTACTTTGATTCAGCAGTAATTCAACTCCTCTTCAGATCCTTAATTAAGCTTTTGTCAAAAATGAGAGACAACTAGAATAAGAAGGAAGGCACGAGCTGTGTCGTCAACAATTATAATTTCTGGATCATTTTAATCAAAAACATAATCCAAGAATGGAAAAGCTTATGTTTTGATACAGAAATAACATTTCTTCTGCTGAATAAAGCATGTAAGGTTTTATAATGCCATTTTCTGCAATTTTAACAATGACAATGATAAAAAATGTACTAGTGAAAGTCTAGGCACAGTTACATGATTATTTGTGGCAGTAAAAGAAAATGATCAAATGCATTTTAGGATCTAATTATTTTTTTAAGTAGAAAGACTAATAAAATGTGCA